GTTTCTCCTCTTTAATCCCTGAAAACACAAGATTCTGACCAGTTTCTCCTCTTTAATCTCCGAAAACACAATATTCTGACCCGTTTCTCCTCTTTAATCTCTGAAAACACAAGATTCTGACCCGTTTCTCCTCTTTAATCCCTGAAAACACAAGATTCTGACCCGTTTCTCCTCTTTAATCTCCGAAAACACAAGATTCTGACCCGTTTCTCCTCTTTAATCCCTGAAAACACAACATTCTGACCTGTTCCTCCTGCAGGATGGCTGCGGTGTTGGAGGACAGAGAGCAGCAGATCCAGTCCCTCCAGTCTGACATCCAGAAGAGAAACGATGACATCACAGGTTGGTCAGAAATGAAGATTTATTGACCTGATTTACACGGGTCAGAGTGAGGAGGAGCTGCAGCACCACAGATTCAGGTCTGTATCAGATATAATTTATGTTTCCTCTGCAGCTCTGAGCGCTGAGCTGAGAGCTGCAGAGCAGCAGCTGAAGGACAAACAGCAGCAGAAGGACGAGCTGGAGGACAAGATGGACATTTTGAGGAAGGAGCTCAATAAAACTGAACAGGCCAGGAAGGACGCCAGCATCAAGGTAAAAAGTAAAAACTTAACATTGTTGTTTGTCACCATAAGACAACCTGAGCTCTAAAACCTGGTCCTGGACCGGTTCCCGTCTCGTAGGCGTCGTCTCTGGAGCTGCAGAGGACTCAGCTGGAGAGCAAGCTGAAGCAGAAGGAAGAAGAGCTGAACAAACACTCGGCCATGATCGCCATGATCCACAGCCTGAGCAGCGGCAAACTGAAGAGTGACGTCAACCTGTCGCTCTGACGATGAGTCGCACAAAAAAACATTTTATCAACTATTTATAGGACCTCTAATTCATTTTAAACTGTAATTAATCTGCAAGAAACAAGCTTAAACATTAAACTCTACTTTTTCAAGTCATGAAATGTTTGTTTTTATTGTTCTGTTAATAAATGACACTGTTTTTCACTGGAGCTGTCGGCTGAAGCTCAAAGTGTCAAAGTGTTGTTGTAAAAACTGAACCAACTGTTGAGCATGGAGGTGGAAGCATCATGCTGTGGAGCTGAGTGGATAAAATAAAGAATTATCTCTAAATTATTTACCTTCACCTCAGATCATCAGCTGAAACTGAACTTAGAGTTCCAACAGGAAGCAGTTGTATTTTGTCATCGTTACAAAATAAAAGTTCTCTTCGAATAAATACAGTATAAAGCTTTTTCCATTTTCAACATAATTTTTAAAATCTACAATCGTAAATACTATTCATCCAAAGCTGTAAACCCTAACTAATAATAAAAACACTCAATAATTAACATCCTCATAATAAGTTTCAAATAAATATTTTAGGGTTGAAGAAATGATTAAAGACCTTTTAAAGAACCAACACTTCATTCTAATGTAACCACTGAAGTTTAAAGCAGCTGTCACATCAGTTTTTTGTATTAAATAATAATGCATTTTTGGAACGATAACATTAATTATATATTGCAAAATAAGTTTCATACCTCTGAAATGAAGAGTTGTTGAGAAATTTGCACGTGAAGCAACAGGAAGTGATAAATAGGAATGTCTGAATGTAAACAAAGTGTTGCTACAATAAGGATATGCACATCACAGGAACTTTAAAGAACGTGTTCAAAATATAAAGCTTAATCAGTAAATTTTCTCTTTATCTTTTTGCTTCTGTTTTGTTTCTTTGCTTTATTATAAAATGTTGCACAATAGTTTATGTTTGTCTTTATTGTTGTACATTAAAAAGGAAGTAAATTGTAGAAACAGGACAGTTAGTTTAAGATTTCATTGTGACAACCCCTGTCACTATCCACG